TTTTTCATGCTCAGTATCATCTTATTTTTCCCCATCATTATCAATCACATCGCTGTACAAAAGTTTGTTCTACTGAAATACAACCGCTACCGCCCGCTCGTTGGCTCCAACGTGACTTTGAGACTTTTGCTGAGTGACTGTTGTTGTGACCGCTGGTTGGTTATATTTGACTGCAGCTAACACTAAACGTGAACAAACATTTCAGCTACAAACACCGTAATAATATATTCACACTTGTGGAATAATATTTCGACCACCGGAGATCTGGGATACCAGGAAGATAGAACTATTCTTGGTGTGGTGGTTCAACGGAATACGCAACTACGGAATCTCCTATTTTGAACTGTGAGTCAAGATTTACTTGTATTTTTCTCTTTGTGACCTTGTATCGGGCTTACATCAGTAATTTGTTCAGTTCACTAGAGATTCCATAGGGCCGTTAACACAAACAAGGCTGGTACTGGACCGCTGAAATAGTTCACCATGCACAAGCCACAAACGGCCGATCTTTTTTGAATTTACGCGGAGTCGGCGCAAATTTCCATAGGGCCGTTAACCACTACAAGGCTGGTACTGGACCGCTGAAATAGTTCACCATGCACAAGCCACAAACGGCCGATCTTTTTTGAATTTACGCGGAGAAAATCGGCGCAAATCCTTCTCACGCTCCGTCCCGATGCGCTTTCTACTAGAAGGAAGGATGAAACTGCGGGGAAGCCATTCATCCACTGCATCTTCTTCGGTTATCGCAGACTGATCATGCTGACCCCTGACAAACAATAAAATAACTTTATGCACCCAAAGTATAATTTGGTACCTTTGAACTGGGTTTAAAAAATTATCCAGGCATATCTTGAGCTTTCGAGTAAACATTGGTGTGTAATACAGTTCGGCGTGAAAGAATCATTCGTGTGAACAGCGGTTTCAGGAGAAGTTTGTGCGCATTCTACTGCTGGCCAGATCCCTCACCTTTTCGTTGAACCCGCTTCGTTCGATTGTTCGTACTTTTTTACTTCAAGTGAATTATCAACTGCAGAGGTGTACCTACAGTTGAGGCTACCCTATAATTCTGGCTTATTATTTCTACACTGTAGGTGGAGCGCCTATACTCAGCTCCCAATTTGTTTAGCCCAACTTGACATCCTGAGAGATTGCATCACTTGAAGATGAAAGTCTTGCGATGTAAAGGCCTAGATAATTTTTAGAGAATGTGTCATCCCTTAAAGTTTCTTTTGGCACCTCTTCTTCCAAAAGAATTGCCAGCCTTCTTCCGCTGAATCGGCTGAAGATAACCAATTCACACTTTTGTGTGCATTCCACCTGCCTCAGCACAAGGCCTTGCAAGTTTCTTTCAGTAGCCTCCTCTTGACACAGTTTACCACGATTCCCCAAGGATCCGTTGCGAACCTCTTTGTTCTGATAATCATTATCCCTCAATCTTCACTCCAATACTGTCGAGCTGGTTAGCAGTTTTCTACTCATGTTTAGGACTATATTTGGTATCAACTCTACGTTTAAAAAAGGTTCGCTCTGCGCACGAGCATATTTGATAAGGGAATCTTTTGCTGTTTTATCGTTCATGGGGTCAAACGCCTGTTATTTGTTCAAGTTTTGCACATTGTGCGTTAAACGTTTTTTACCCCAAACTTATTAATCAGGTTGTACCAAGGGATGCGAGCCATAATATAATAGACCGGTCTCCGTTTCAAATAAGAATATCAAGCCACAGCCGTTATTCCCTCAAGTCGTAAGCGTCGATTGCGTTCTTCCAATTGCTCGGCCCAGTGTTAATTTTAAAGTACCGGGTTTGTCGATAACGGGTGAAACCGGCCATCCCAACTTCTTGAGCCGTTTTTCGCTGCGATATGTTCATCTGGTCTGTTCTAGGGATTTCTCGGATGTGAGCATGCGCCGGTTATCCTGCGGACGAAAAACTCAATGTAGTGCTACTTCCAGAAGCAAAACAGTTCCACAGCGCAACGAGAGCCGAGAGTGGGTAATTGGGTTTCATTTCAAAACGCTCAGAATAATCCGCAAGATTAACATCTTGTTCCTGTTCTACCTAAATGTGAACAAATGTAGATAAAAGTGAAAAACGATCTTTCTGAATGCTCATAATAATTTCTCCACGAGTCCCTTTGGGGCGGCCCTGGAGTTATCCGCATTTATCTGGAAGGTTATTCAAAAGACTTGCCTCATATCCATGGGCCCAGAAACTAGATCACAAAGCGTCCAACCGGAGGGTGGGCACAACCGATTTCGAACTTCAGTACTCATAAGCTTGGTTTGTATTTTTAAATTTCAGGTGGACCATTTGTTGAGAACGTCCCTACACCAGAGGCTTGTATAGTTTATGAATTTGTCTTCCGATTTTAGTACCGTATTGAAACCAACTTCGACGTTGTTTTGCCTTCCCAGAGGTTTTAATATTATGTGCCACTCCAAGATACTCTTGGGCTGTAACAGCACTCGACAGCTTAATTTGTCTTGCTTGGGGTAAAATATGATAACCGCTGGGAGCATCGCGCACGGATTGGGCGTGCGGAACCTATCGATCCTGCGAATGGAACAAATGCAATGCAGGTCACTTCACGCCCTGCTTCTTATAAGTCACTTTGACATCTTGCCGTAAAAGTAATGTTACTTTTGTAATCTTTAAAGATTGCCTAGCTACAGGAGTATCGTGTTAAGCGCGAGGTTGAACTCCAGCGGTGTTTATCTAGAAGGACATTGTCAAACTGAGCTACCCAAAATTGAAATAGTGGCAGTAGAGGGCCAGAAAGCGTTATCGATAATATAGACTGATGCGGTGCGGGCAGACTGACATAACTAGCTATCACTCCCGTGGAAGGATGACGCACTCTCTCTAACCGATCGCTACCATGTAATGAGAAAACGACCAGAAATACTGAATACTAGACTGTGCAGGGGTAGCTTTTTACACGAAGCTCATAATCGGCAGCTAAGCACGTACATGGACTAAGAATATAGTAAACGGGTGGCAAATGTACCATAATTGTCCTTAAATAATAGGCATTGGAACCTTCCGCACCATCAAGCCTCCAACCAAGACGGCCAGAAAATATTAGGGTGGTATTCGTCTGTGACGCCAGGTCTCGTGGTGTGTCTCTGAACGATCACTTGTATGAGGGCCCTGATTTAGCAGCAAACAATATGCTCGGCTTTCGCTTAGAGTAAGTTGCTCTGGCAGTGGAGGTTGGCCCGTGAAATAGAGGCGCTCTAAATTTCCTGTGCAAAGTGCACGTTCCAGAATAGTGCATTCTCAAAAAAGCACTGACTTGAAAACAACGCATTGCGTTTGTTTCTGGGATTATCCGGAAACTATTTTTGCCTCAACTACGACGTCATCGAGGTTGCGACTTCGTGTGTGACCCGATTGCACGTTTTGGTGGTAAGTTGCTCATAGTATTTTATTTAAATGAGCGAAATTTCCGGGTCGTCGGCCATCACTGATTCGCATCTCATTACCGCTTCACGAGATAAATCATGAATTCAAAGTTTAACACATTTCAGCCTTCACAAGTAAAGAAACATCTATGGGATATGCAGTGCAATTTCAGTCCAGTATTTGCATGCAACTCCCCTAAAAACTCACAAATTAGATGAGTTTGTTCAGCGAACTCCGTCACAACAGTGTTTTTTTGTTAAGCTCAACTTTCGTTCAGTGTAATAATTGGGTATTATTTGATGCGCTGTTCAGTATCGACGCAAGTGTGCACTCTGTGCGTGATCCACTTTCTGGATATACATAAATGGTCACCAGATGGCGAACCGTTATGAGATATTTGTATGCTAATTACTAATACAACGAAATCTTCTCCATTTAAATTATTCACGTTACTTACTGTGGTACACCATAATTCCCAACCGCATGGACGGAAAATAGATCGACTATCGTCGGTCATCATGGTAACTGCACATGCTGTAACCCACCTAGGCCACTTATCGCAACTACCAAACCCGCATCTATGTGTAACCTAATTATGAGGTCTCAACCATTAGTGGCAACGTAATCCGATGGCCGACGGCGGCCCGTCATACTGATAACTGCGTGCGTTGTCATTTATCTTCGCCCTTTATAGTAAACATCAGGCCACTACCTATGGTGCCTGATAAATGAGTCTTCAACAAGGCGTAATAGAATAATCTAACGGCCGACGACGGCTCACCACAGTCATAACTTCACTCCATCTTGCCTCCTTGGCTAGTTATCGTATCTGATAGGCCCGTGTTAATACTGATTATCAAGCCGCAACTATGCACGGTAGCCTAATCCAATCCTCAACAGCAACAACTTCTTCGTCCTATCCATAACTTTTAACTATCCCATATCCAACCACAATCGTAGTGTAACGGAACTGAGCATCTCTTCGGAGAAAACGATTATCAACTCCCGTGCGCGCGTCAATAAGTCGACTCTTTTGCGATCATCAGCATCCTGTTATATATATATATATATATATATATATATATATATATATAACACAACAATATTTTGTGCGTCT